TCACCCTTGAATTGTGGGAACCAAGCGATGTATGTGGGATTTTCCTTAATCAACCTGGTTATTTTTGTTTAAAAATAAGTATTATGGGGCATTAAATTATATAATACAATTATCAAATAACAAGTGAGAGAGAGAGAGAGAGAGAGAGAGAGAGAAAGAGAGGGAGATTACCTGGTATATAAATCATTACCATTGTTAATTTTATTAATCAAATAAACATCCCATGTGCTGCGTAATGTTGCTAGCTCATTATAAATCAGCAACTCCATTATTATATATTCTAATTATAATAATATAGCAATTAAGTAAATATAAGATGACTATTTAATATTAACGTTAAAATAAATATGTCATACAACCATACACAAAATACTGTAAAATAGTTATAATTTAATTTAATTAAAAAATTAATATTTATATTAAATTTTATCAAATAGTATTCTCAAGTTACAAATAAAACTATTCAAAAATATAAGGACATTTTCATCATTTATTATAAATGACCATCATTGTATTAAACATATAAATTATACAGTGTGCATTTATATAAAATGTAAAATCCAGATAACCGTGTTTTATTAAATTTTCAAATAACTTGTCAGATAATAAAAATGATACCATTTATAATATTATAATATTAAAAACAGTAAAACAATTAATAACATTAATTAAAATAAATGCAGTTAAACTTATTTCATATTCTAAAGTTTTTTATTAAAATGTACAGCATTAATTATTGACACATAATAATTAATTCCTACTAAAGCATGGTAAAAGTCATACAAACCATAGCTTTTATAATTCACATAAATTTCGTATATATAAACTTATAAATTAATGCTAAAACAAGCTATCTACAGTAGATAGCTTGTTTTAGCATTAATTTATAAGTTTATATATACGAAATTTATGTGAATTATAAAAGCTATNATGCTAAAACAAGCTATCTACAGTAGATAGCTTGTTTTAGCATTAATTTATAAGTTTATATATACGAAATTTATGTGAATTATAAAAGCTATGGTTTGTATGGTAAAAGTTATTATTACAAAAAAACATTAAGCTGAATATAAAGCAGTTGAATAGATTTTAAGAAATTTATCATATGTTGCTTGAGTATCTCGGGTCATAACATCGGGGCCCAATTTATCGTTCAACTCGCCCATGAGCGCCTGCATCATTTGCTCGAACATCACCTGGGTCACTTTTCTGCGCTTATGACACGAATGCTGTTTGCGTAACATTTTGCGATTCTCGTCCCAACTCAGACCCATTGCTGTGTCAATGAGTGTCGACACAAACTCCAAGTCCTCGACACCAACTCTTATGACCTCAGCGTTACCCTTGAGTTCGCCAACGAATTTGGGGAACCACTCGATGTATGTGGGGTTGGCGTCAAACAACCTGGTTTGTTTTTAGTATAAATTTAATATTACAACTTGATTTAATTTACAACAAAATTTAATAATTAATATTTAAATTGTAAATTGCAAAATCAATAATTCAATAAATTGTCAATTTTATAATTAGTGAGTGAGTGAGAGTGAGAGAGAGAGAGAGAGAGAGAGAGAGAGAGAGAGAGAGAAATACATAATACACAATATTTTATATTGTTTACCTGATGTATAAATCATTCCCATTGACATCGACATTATTCATATAAATGTCCCAAGAGCTGCGTAATGTTGCTAGCTCAGAATCGGTTAATGTGTCCATTATTGCCAATTTATTTTATTTTATTGATTTGATAAATTGAATTCACGAATGTTTTGGAAAATCAGTATTTTATTTATATACAAAATATTTTGAAACTAGTTAGAACTGAATTCAATGTCATGATGAATATTTATTTGAAATCTTATCAATAATTGATCTTATTTCAAACTTACAAGGTTCAAAATATACAGTGATATATTTCAAAATTTTATTACAAGTGGCCATTACACTGATAAAAATATAAATTATGCATTTGCAATTTAGGCCTATTAAGATAATTATAACACTTCTCACGAGTTAGTAGACGTATAATTGTTTATTAAAATATTAATCTATCACAAAAATGTATAGCATGCTGATTATTACATTAATTAAAAATGTAAATAATTTTATAGTGCATATTGGGTACACCATAGAGATAGCAGTGTTATCATAGCACTATCCAATTTACCATAATTCAGTACAGTGTGTGTTTGTTTGCACTGTATATAATTTTGATTTTAGGTTCATGAGTTTTTATTTATTTAATTGATTATGGTTTATGCTATACCATTAATTCGTCCAGATCCTATTAGATGTACAGTAACATACTGTCAGTAAGAAAATAAAAAAATTTCAAAAATTTTAATATTCATTTAACAATTTCAACAGAATAATAATTATTAGAAATTATTAATTACAATAGAACGCCCTTATTACACGAATTATTATTAGAATTAAAAATTTCCTGTATAAACCAATATACACACGCTTCTTTCCATGGAGTGGAACTTGTAGCAAACTAAGTTACCTACCCCAATTAATAATTATACATACATATGTATAACGTTTAGCTTTTAACATTAAGCTTGGCACTTATTGAATAATGCAATAGCTGTTGTCAAATAGATTATTAGAGAGAGAGAGAGAGGGCCAGTGTGTGATATGAACCACAAATGATTTGCACAATATTTTTATTAATATGTGGGATTTTCCTTAATCAATCTGGTTATTTTTATTTAAAAATAAGTATTATGGTTCATTAAATTATATAATACAATTACAAAATAACGAGAGAGAGAGAGAGAGAGAGAGAGAGAGAGAGATTTAAATTTAAAATAGCGTATGTGAAAAATATTGTTTTAAAAAATAAAGTTGTTTTAAATAAAAGTTTAATTTTTAATTATTAATATTTATTTTAAATATAACCAAGTAAAAATACTTTAACAACAAATAAATAATTAAAGTATTTATTTAATCTCAATAGGATATTGGTGTACATTTTCTTGACAATACTGGGACAGCATGTACACTGCCCGTTGCTCAGCACCTGAGCTAGTTAATTGTTCACAAATATTGATTAACACGTTCATTTTGCCCAACGCGTAAGTGTTCTAGAAATATTAATAAAATAGAAAGTATATATACGAGCTATAGTTTAATCATAAGCTAAAACCACAAACAAGGTACCTTATTAACATTAAAACATTTATCATTAAACGTGTCCACCATTTGTCGATAACAAACCCGATTTTTAATAGTTTGTTTAGTTGTCAGCACTTCATCAACAGTTAAACCGTGTAAATGCTTAATACTAGACACGTATTGCCGTAAATGACTGTCCATATACTGTCTGCTGGCTAATAGTTGTTTTAATTCTTGAGTTAACCTAGTTGGAATAAATAAAATTAGCACATAAATTTAATTCAATATATTTAATTATTTTATATTCAACATTAAACCTGATATTTCCAATAATTATTTATTTATTACCGTATTTTCTCGTGTAAATCCGCTGATTCTTCGATATTTTTCTCCAACATCCGTACCGGCAATTCCCGTGTGTTGACCGGATTGCAAGCGGGCTTGCTCAATTCAGCAATGTTTGACTGGGCAAATGGTGTGGGTCCTAAATATTATTAATGTCAATAATTGCATATGTTAAATAAAAACATGCCTTGAAATTGTGACGCGGGCAATTTAGCGATAGACAGGTCACCCCATTGTTGTGCGTGCTGTTCGTGCTGTATGGGCTCCATCACACCTGTCTGGTTGGTTGTTTTGTGTATGTACTCAAATTGAGCCTGCAGTGTTTCTTTGGCAAACTCTGCGCTTTGCCAATTTTTGTACCAATAATAGCCAAAGTAGGAACCTAATCAATTTAAACAAGTATTTAAAGTTTATAAAAATTTACTATAGAGTAAAATTATTAATAGGTTGATTCACTATCACCATATTGTAGAATTAGTTTTATTAAAAACTTTGTTTAGTCAAATAAAAAATTATTACCGATTTAACATTTTTCAAAATTACAATAAATATTTCATATCTTTTATGAGTATCCAGAAAGAGCTTAACTTTTTCATTAGGTTTAATTATAACTATGACATCGATTTCAACCATTGAATCAATCATTTGAAAAATTTGACTTTAGCTGTGACTAAAGCTAATAAAAAAGTTTAGCTCTTTACGAATAATTTTAACAGTATAAAATTTATAGTTAACATTTTTCTATTGTCTCTTTAGGTATTTTGATTTATTTAATTTACGACCGATTCATGAATGACTGGGTCCGGACCGCGAAAAGTAGCGCCGTTGTTGAGGTCGGGTTTTCAGTTGAATTTGTCGATGTCATGGCGTATACGTTAATATTGTTGGGCAGTATATCTTCAAACATCGAGCCTATTATAGAAATGCAACTAAATATAAACTACATTTCACCTTAATACTACTATTATACTTATATTGATAATTACCTGACTCGCAAGCCTCCAGATAGAAAACTAACTTGCCAAATCTTTTATCCTTGTTCATTCGGGTAAGTGTGGCCACCAGATCAGTATTAGTCATTTGTTCATTAGGAAATAGTACATAGCCTGGTGCACCATGGTCAACAAAATAGACAAATATGTGATCATTAGCGGTACTGTTGACTACTTTTTTGCCTGATTTAGCCAACTCTTGGTCGCCTTCGAGGGCAGCAAAAAAGTTCTGTAGTA